TACCAGTATCTGCCAGAAAGAACTAGATATAATTAGTAATTCTAAAATAAACTTATAATACAAAACTATTGTTAATATATAAAAATAGAAATGGAATAAATAAAATCTGATATATATACAGTAATCTATAACTAAACCTCCCCAGGTTAGGTTTTTTTAATCTTAATTAGTAATTACCAGACCTTCTAGAAAAAATTAATCAAAATTTCCAAAAATATAAGATCTCGCCAGGTTTACTACCTGGTGAGACAGTGTATTTTTACAGCTTAATTTTTCTGATAGTCGGTACTAGTAACAACCAGGTCCCATACTGGTAAGAACCAAAAATACGTATGACCTGGCGACCTGGGGACCTGACGACCCTGTGGCAACCCGCCACGCGGCCCAGCAAACATACACAGTACGTACACGCATACAAACATACATACATACATACATACCTAGCATGGCGTGATCTGCCATGCACAACCACGACTCACTCACGATACCATCACCCATCACTAAAACAGGAAGGTAAAGCGACATGTCCCGTCCACAATTACCCCGACATGTATCTATCATCATCATCATCATCATGGAGGCGAAAAAAGTAATTGCCATCATAATCATACAACCACTATTTTCCCCTATTTTTGCTCATTGATGACGATTAATGAGTCATAGGTCAACTGTGTAATAACTAATTGAGTTGTAGTGTGTGCGTGTGTTGGGGTTGGGTTTGTTGCCACCAAACGCGCGAGCGGATAATGAATAATGGGTCGGTCTGGTTTGTAATGAACTTACTTAGGGTAGGGATTGGCGTTGCGGCGACATCATTAGCATCATCATCATTCAACATTCATCAACGTTTATCATCAGGTTTGGATCGGGGAAAGTACTGCTGTCTACTGATTGCTGGCTACTCTTTAGGGTAATAGATCAATTGTTCAGTTGTACTTTTGTTATCTGGAGAGGTATTGCATAATGGATGATTTAATTGCGGATTCTACTGTATACTATGATCCTGATCCTATTTTAGTTTGTTTGCATGCATTTGTTCTAACCATTATTCAATTCCAAATCTGGGTATTTATGTTCCAACTACTAATGAATATGCAAACGCCCGCTAACCCATACTTAACAATCAACAAGAAGATAAAATGTAAAACGCCACTATGCAAAGTCATCATCATCATCCCACCCCAATTGTGCGTAGATCGACTTCTCCGGCGTCACAGGCACAGTCGGAGCAGCAGTCGGCACGGCTAATCGGGTGGCACTTGCACCCTTCACAGGCGTAGCAAAGACATTGGCCTTAGCCGGGGTGGTAGTAATTGTGGTCGTGGCCTTCACAGGTGTCCCTGCCACTGCCGCCGGCTCAGTGGCTGCAGGAGCAGAAGGAATCGAAAAAGCAGGGGCCATGACCGGTTTCGGAGGCGTTTCCGTGATCATGGACGGCTTGCTTGAGCCGATGGACTTGACTCGGGGCATATAAGCGTCCACGTGTCGGGCTGCGATCGGCGTGGTTGGTCCCTTTTCAGTGGCCCGAAAGACAGGAGGAACAGGGGCAGGGACCGAAGTTGGGGCCGGGGCTGGCTTGCTGGGGACGCGGAAAAGGGGTCCTGAGACTTTTCTCTTCGGCGATGCGCTGATATCAGCTGATGATAGAGGCTGGGTTGGTCGACGCGTGGGCGTTTCCTGGATCGCCCCGTCGTCGGCAGATCGGAAGAGCCCTGAATTTGAGGGTCGGATATTAGAGCCGGGAACAATTTGCGGCTCGCTTGTGAATGGGGAAGATGAAGATCCCTGGGGTATGAGAGCTGGTTGGAAGAGACTCTTTGGAAGAGGAGGCATGTCTGCCATGGCGTCTGCCATGGCGTCTGCCATGGCGTCTTTCTTGCGACTGCCTTTGGGCGTGGCAGCCACCTGCACACCTTGGCCGTAAGGGTTGCGCACTGGGTTTTTGGGCTTGCGTGAGCTGCCGCCGCCGGTGGACAGTCGTTTGCTGGCATCTTCGGCGATATCTTTGGCCACGAGCTCACGGTTTGGTTTGCGCAAAGCATGAATGGCTGCGTCGAGCTCTTTCTTCTGGTCCACGAGCATCTGCATCTTCTTGAGTTTAGTCTCATGCTGGCGGGCAACGGCGTTGAGGTCCACTTCGCGATTCTCCACGCGCTTGGCTTTCTGGATTCCGCCGCGCACGTTGGCACTAACAGTGGGGAGTAAGGGATCCAGAGACCCTCGTCGGCTTTCAGTCGGTGCTGGGGTGGTGTTAGACCGACTGAGTGATGGGGGTTGTCGGGCCTGAGAAGGGGCCTGATCTGTCAACACGCGCTGGAATGCGCGGCGACGGGACTTCTGAGCGTGTTGTCGCTCAACAGGCGTTCCTGGTTCTCGGGGCGTCTTCTTCGTCTGAGGCTGCTTCGTGAAAGGCGAAATTGCAGTTGAGACGCCAAGTTTCCGAGTAATCAGCTTGCACTTATCCGGCAGACGAGATGCATAGAACGGGACAATGACCTCCGTGCAGAAATCGCGAACAGCATCACTTTCAACCTTCTTCCCAGATAGATGGTTGGTCTTGGCCGAGTCCGGGACAACTGTCTCCTCGAAGCTAACGGCATGCCAGATGCACAGTCGGTCGAGGTGGAGCTCAAGCATGACATTCAGGTCCTGGGGTTTCTTGCCTTTGGCGGTTTTCGCAGGCTTGTCTGCGCCCTCCCCATTACCCTCACGCTTCTTCTCATCCGCAATAATCGCCTCCAAAGCCATAGTCTCAAGAATCAAGAGAATCTGCAGTTGCGTTTCGCGCAACCGCAAGTCCGCAATATGCTTCTTCGATTCTGCATCCCTGGACATCTCGGACGGAAGCCCTTGATCATTGAGTGCACGATCGCGCCACCACTTGCGAATCAAGTCACTCTCCTCCGGATACAGCCCATTCTTGCCAAGTTTCTTCTTGGTGCTCCTGCGCTTCCGCTTCGGCGGCGCAGTCTCATCATCGGAAACACTCAGCAGCAGATCTTGAACCGTAGTCGGCAGAGTCTCACGATACTTGTGATCCATTCTCTTTGCTGTAAGAATAGCCTCTCTGTAGAACTCAACCAATTGGGCTGGTTTCCCAGACTCATTGTCCGAGGACTGGAATGCCGCGCGACAACGCGCCAGAGGGCCTTTGGCAAAGTAAGCCACGGAAGTCTGTCATCAACTATTAGCATTGCTTCACCGTCTCAGAGCACAGGCGCAGTCACTCACCTTTGACACATACAGCGCCTGTAGATACTGTTCCCGCAGCCCATCCAGCAGCTCCTGCGGCGACTGCGTTACCTCCATATCCTGCTCTTCAGCAGCAGTAGCAGCAGCATCACCACTCTGCTCCCCAATACCCAGCAACACAGGCCCCTCCGAACCCTCATCACTGCGCAACATCTCATCCTGTGTTTCTCTAGCATCACTCTCAAACACACACCCGAAAACAACCTCCACATCCGCAGCACCCCGCCCTCTCTTTCCAAGCACAACCGGCTCCGGATCCTCAATCTTCGCAACCTCCCACCACGCCCCGACCTCTTTCCTCTCTCTCCGCCGTTCCATACCAGACGAGAATGAGAATGGAAAAGCTGAACCAGCACTCGCCTTCGCCGCAACAACCACCTCACCCTCACCCACACCCCGTAGCCTCATCAACGCATATACCCCCTTCTTGACGCGCTCAACCACCCATACCCCTGCCTCCCCGACAACCCGTACCGCAAGGACAGTATCCCTGGCATTTTCGTTCTCAAGGACAGAAATATCCCCAACGAATACATTACACCACCCCGAAAGACCTTGGCTCTGGTTCTTATGTTCGCGCGGCTCGAAATCTATCCACGAAAAGGGGATAGCATTGCGGGAGAGGGTAGTGATAGGTGTGAGGTGGTGGTAGGGGTTTTGGTCTTCGGCGAGGGATGCGGAATGGGACTATTATCAATACTGAGTTAGCGACATTTTCGACGTAGACCGTAGAAGGGGAGGTGATATACATACACGAATACTTATCGTCTGCGGCGACTCAGAAACCGCAAAGACGTCATTATGGACATTGATATTCTCGGAATGCGAGACCTTGCGCTTCTTGAACGGATGGTTGTCGATGGATGCGGTTGATAGCGAGGTACTTGTGGTATGATTCGGGACGAGATTGAGAGGGATTGGAGCGAGGATGTTGCTGCTGGGAGGTGATGTTGCTGCGGTGGTGGTGGTAGTTGCCATGGATGGTGGATGTGTGTAGCTGAACGCGTATAGTGGCTAGTCTGGGTATTTATTATGAGTGCAGCATTTCGTGAATCGACAAGTCGGTATGGAGAATATGCTGCGTGGTAGTCTTGTATGTGCAATGGGCCTTGTTCATGGGGTAATCTAGAACAGAAGTAGTAGTGGTGATGGTAAGTCGAGGCCTGCTCTCCCTGGGGCGGTGGGTGACGCGAGTCACGTCGGCGGAGAACTGGGCGGCACGCGTCGCGGCGGAGGGGTTGCCGAGTATAGCAGATTTCGCTAAGTGCCCGCCCACGGGATTCGCTGACCACCAGATCTATGAGAATTAAGATCCTGGAAGATTTGAATTGTATGGACAAGCCTAACGGAATATTATCTATTGGTCAGGGTCACGTATACGGAGTATTCATTCCCGATCTTGCGACCGCGATAAGACTCGTATGCTCCTAACCCTATAACCCTAAGTCGGACATTACCACGGAACACTTCAGATCGCTCCACTTGTCCATCTACAATCTACAAGATAATTACACGGCACAATACTACTCCATGCATATGCATTCATTAATCTATGTGCTAATGTTTAGATTAGCAAATGGCGAGATATCACTCTCAAGCCATCTATATCACTCCTGTCGGAGCATCATTCGAACCCCAGTGCGTCAGGGACACGCACCATCACGCCGGATGGCACGCATCCCCCGCAGATAAGACTCGAAGTTCCTATCGGTCCTAAGCCCGGAGGAGGCAGTGTTGAAGACTTTCGCTCCCGAAAACGCCGAAACAACCCTCCCAAGGTATATGAAAAAGTGGTATCATGTTGAATTTATCCTCGCCGAACCCGTCTCTTGCCGAGAGACCATGCAAAAAGTTGAACAAACATCCAAACATAAAAGTTGCTTTTTTGACATGTCTATGCTCGTGCTTTGAGTTGTTGAAAACAAAGCAAAATCATCACATTCGTAAAGGAAACAGACTCAGAAGAGAAGCAGGTCCACAGTCATTGCGAGCGACTCGCTTAGAACTTGAGGGCCTTGGGCTTCTCCCAGGAGAATTCCTGGTTGGTGAAGTGACCGTTCTTGGCGGTCTTGAAGTAGATGGGCTTGGCCAGATCCAGCTCCTTGACAATGACACCGGGACGGAGGTCAAAGTTGTCACGGATGATCTGGACGAGCTCATCGGAGGTCTTGGAGGAGGTGCCGTAGGTCTCGACGAAGATGGACAGGGGCTCAGCAACACCAATGGCGTAGGAGAGCTGGACGAGGGCACGGCGGGCAAGGCCAGCGTTGATGAGGGACTTGGCAATCCAACGAGCAACGTAGGCAGCCGAGCGGTCGACCTTGGAGTAGTCCTTACCGGAGAAGGCACCACCACCGTGAGCACCCCAACCACCGTAGGTGTCGACGATGATCTTACGGCCGGTGAGACCGGCGTCACCCTGGGGACCACCGATGACGAAGCGGCCGGAGGGCTGGAGGTGGTAGACGGTGCGGTCGTCCAGGAGGTTGGCAGGGATGACCGACTTGATGATCTGCTCCTTCAGGACCTTGCGGAGCTCCTCAGTGGAGACCTCGTCGCTGTGCTGGGCGGAGATGACAATGGTGTCCACACGGAGGGGCTTGACAGCACCGTTGTCGTGGGCGTACTCGATGGTGACCTGGGTCTTGGTGTCGGGGCGGAGCCAAGGGATGGTGCCGTTCTTGCGGGCATCAGTCATGGCCTTGTTGAGCTTGTGAGAGAGGACGACGGTGAGGGGGAGGAGCTCAGGGGTCTCATCGGTGGCATAACCGAACATGATACCCTGGTCACCAGCACCGAGCTTCTCAAGGGCCTCCTCGTAGTGCAGACCCTGGGCGATATCGGGCGACTGCTGCTCAATGGCAACCAAGACGTTGCAAGTCTTGTAGTCGAAACCCTTCTCGGAGGCATCGTAGCCGATGTCCTGGATGGCACCACGGATGACCTTCTGGTAGTCAAGCTTGGCCTGGGTAGTGATTTCACCGAAGACCATCACCATACCTGTAACGTGGGTCAGCGCACCGTCCCGATAAGATTAGATGGGTGGGGCGGGAAGGGAAAAAAAAAAAACTTACCAGTCTTGGTAGCGGTCTCACAAGCGACCTAACGGCAACATGTTAATTCAAGACATTCACATGCAAGGTGGACAAGCCGAATTGGAAAAGCGCCGGCCAATCAAGGGGCCAAGGGGTGCGCAAGAAAAATCCGACTCAGATAGAACCGATGAGGGGTCCGTACCTTAGAGAGAGGGTCCTCAGCAAGGCAGGCATCGAGGATGGCATCGGAGACCTGGTCACTGTGGAAATATTGTCAGCAAGACATGAACCGAGTGCGCCAGGTGAAATTGAGGTTCGACATACGCAATCTTATCGGGGTGACCCTCTCCGACGGACTCGGAGGTGAAGAGGAAAGTAGATCCGTTGGCGACGCTACCCATTGTGAAGAGTGGGGGGTGGGGATATGTATAGATAGGGAGAAGTGAAAAAGGGAGAGAGGAGACGAGGAGAGAAGAAGAGGAGAAAGATTAGGGAGGGGGGGGAATAGAGTAGATATTAAAGAAGCGAGAAATGTAAGAAAATGGGAGGGAAGAGGGAAAAGGGAGGAGGGGAAAGAAGAGAAAAGAAGGAGGCAGAGAGGGGAATCTCGTATTAATGTGTCTCCGATGGCGCCATCTCTTCCGGCGGTCGGACTAGGCAGAAAAAAGTAAAAATGAATGGGAAAAAGAAAGACCCAAAGGAAAAACATGCATCGGCGGCGGATTTTGATTTGCCAACCGAAGAGATCCCCCCTCTATTGTGCTATCAGCCAATCGGCGTCTCTCTCAACGGACGACGGGCCTTCGGAGTTTCTTCAATTTCATTTTAACCTGCAAACTCGGGGTTGAATTACTCTGCGAACTACCGAAAGCTCCCTCCCTCTCCCACCTTTACTCCATCTCCAACCTGATTCAGATCACCCTTGGGATTCCGGCTCGCTTACGGGAGAATTGCGTTAATTTCCTTGGGTTTTTCCTGCAACTCCGAACCTAGTAGCAACTAGCTCCCCTCCTTGTCAGCATTCGACCCCGCGCCATACCTACCTTTTCGACCACCATTAGCTTTAGCATCAACATCAGCACCCACCAACTCAAAGTGCCGCCGTCAGCATGTCCAAATACGGTGTCCTAGTTATGGGCCCCGCTGGCGCGGGCAAAACCACCTTCTGCAGCTCTATCATCCAGCACCTCCAAAACACACGTCGCAGCTGTTTCTACGTGAACCTAGATCCCGCGGCGGAGACCTTTAACTACGAGCCGGACCTCGACATCCGCGAGCTGATCACCCTCGAAGATGTCATGGAAGAGCTGGGACTAGGTCCCAACGGCGGGCTCATCTACTGCTTCGAGTTCCTTCTCCAGAACCTCGAGTTCCTCTCCGAGGCCCTCGATCCCCTCAGCGAAGAATACCTCATCATCTTCGACATGCCGGGTCAAATCGAGCTCTACACACACATCCCGCTGCTCCCATCTCTGGTGCAGTTCCTATCCCGCCAGGGTCCGCTGAACATCAGTCTCTGCGCTGCTTATCTCCTCGAGAGCACGTTCGTCGTGGACAAGGCCAAGTTCTTCGCCGGCACACTGAGTGCCATGTCGGCCATGTTGATGCTGGAGATGCCGCACGTCAATATTCTGAGCAAAATGGACCAAGTCAAGGACATGGTTTCGCGCAAGGAATTGAAGCAGTTCACTAATGTGGATGTGAATAATCTGCTGGGCACGGCGGGTGACGATGAGGAGTCATCAGTGGTTACTGGAGACCCGTCGTCCAAGGACGCAATGCTGAGCGGGGGATCATTCCAGCAATTGAACCGCGCGGTCGGGCAGCTCATCGATGACTTCAGCATGGTTTCCTTCCTCAAGCTGGACGTGCAAGATGAGGATAGTGTTGCCGCGGTGCTGAGTCACATCGACGATGCCATTCAGTACCATGAGGCTCAGGAACCGCGCGAGCCTTCCGATGCCCAGGAGGTCGATTACGAAGACTGAGCTGAGTGAGATGCCGTAAGCCGTTGTTGGCGCTGCCGCTGCCGCTGCCGCCGGCGCGCCGTGATTACGCCATCGCGTCAGGATTTGGGGGCGCAAGCGCTAGCACATCCTACTTTTCACTCCGTCGAGTTATATAGAGCTCCTGTTGTTGTTACCTAGGTAGCTTGTGCGTGCCTGGATGCTGTGGAACCGCTACCTTGCTGAGTCACCGGCAGCCCAACCCACCCAACAACGCCCGTCGCCGTTCTGCCATAAGAATCTACTACCCACTTGATATGGGGGCCGAAAACGAAGGCAGAATGAGCTACACACAGTGCTCGTATCCGGATACGATTTAAACACCGACGGAAATTATCTAATTGTCCGACCGACCGATCCACCTGAAACAGGAATGTGAGCTGAAGGAACGAGATGGATTATGTATGGCATTATGCCAACCACATACTACTATCTACTTAACCCCTTACAACTATTATCTATAATTAAGATGTCTCTAAAACCGAACCAATGATAATGTCATATTAGATGCAACCTGCACCTGCACCTTTTTCGTGTCACTTGGTAGATAGCTCCGTAAACAGCTATTTAACTGCAGAAGTAGTAATTGATAGATAGATAAGTATAACTATGAGTTGTTTCTGCTCGTCTTATCTTATCACCTAAAAGGAAAACAAAAATTCTTCAATCCTTGCAGTATACATGGCTTAGCATACCATAGCACCACATATCTATCTATACCTCTACACCGCTCAATTCAAGGCAACTGAACTCAATTCACATTCACATTCAATCGAACCAAAACCAGCCATGTAATCCATTCCATGCAGCATGCAATCGTTTATTCGTAGTAAGTAAGCCCAGCTCAGTCCAGGCCGGTCTCGGACCGGGGCTCGACTGCGGTCGTCATTCCATTCCTTATTCCATCCACCCTTTTATCTTCCAATGCAATCCCATCTACCGATGATTATTACCAAGTTCCCCAACTCCAACTCAACTCAACTTAACCCAACTCAACCTTTTTAACATTCTCCCCTCACCACCCCAATCCAAATCTAATACCTCCCCGCCCCGCCCATAGTCCCCGTCACATACCCCCCAACACCCCCAGACCCCGTAACAGCTCTCCCGCCCTCAACCCCATCCCTGAACCCATCCACGAACCCCCCCGCAACACCAACAAGCCATCCCAAGTCCCTCCCGGTCTTCTCGATCCCAACCGAATAAACATACCACAAGGCACCCAGCACGAGCGCCCACCACAGCAACCTCAGGGCAAGATTCACCCAGAACATGACGAGACGGCGGGCATAGTCGAGGATCTTGAGGGAGATGATGAGGACGAGGGCGAGGATGAAGATGGAGACGAGGTCGGGCATGGGCATGGAGGAGGTGAGGAGCGAGGCGAGCGGGTGGATGAGGTAGGGGTCGAGGTAGGCGGAGCGGCAGTGGGAGATGTAGGGGGTTAGATAGGTAGTGTGGAGGGAGGCGAGGTGGGAGGCGATGGGGGTGGAGGTGAAGGTTTGGAAGGTTGGATGTTGTTGGATTAGGGAGAGGAGGGAGTCTGTTAGGTTGGTGAGTGGGTGGTTAGTATTATTGTTGAAGTTGGTTTGGGAGTTTGGGAAGGTGGTGGTGGTGGTGTTGAGGGGGTAGGAGGTATTGGTTGCGTTTGAGGTATTACCTGGGAGAAAGTCCATTGTGAGTGATTAATGGAGCTCACTGTCACCAGATGTAGTAATCTGGTAGGAAGAGAGTATGGAGGTGGCCACTCTCTTTTTATGCCTTGACGATTGGACGGTGAAGGTTTGTCGTGGGGTAATCACGGGTGGATAAGGTTGCAGAAAAGAACCTTGTGCTATATACGGAGAGCCTTATAAGGTGGAAAGTATCATGGTCGAAATGAAGAAGCCAAACAAAGAAGATTGGAAGAGAAGATGATGGATGAAGGGGAGATCGGGACTTTCCTTCGGCCAGATGCGCCAGAGACAATGCGGCCATGCGCGGACCAATCAGCGGCCGAGCGCAAAGCCAAACCAGGCAAACACCGCAGCCAGTCCGGGGGTGGATCCCGTGATATCACGGAACTCTCAGGCATGCGATAAGTCAACTTTCTCTTTCTTCCTTGCACATTCTTATTTTACTCTGCTAGAATTCTTTCATCTCAATATACTCAGCTGACAACTGTACATCTATGCAATTATACATGATCACGTCGTGATCGTGAGATATATACATGCCCATCTGGCCATGGACCCCAAGTGACCATATACAAGCATCGGAGTATGCGCTGCACCCGACCAAAACAAATAGGTGCTTCCAAAACATGTCACACGCTAAAGTGTCGACGCCAAAACACCTCCCATGTGATTATTTTATACAGCGAAGAAACAAGAAAAGTCTAATATGCCGTCGTTCAAGCCATCAGAGTCCTGAACGTCTCGCGTTGGGCCATGATTTCGGCCTGGAGTTTGCGGGTCTGGCGGAGTGCATCGTCCCTGTTGCAGTTTGTTAGCAATAACCTCAAGATAATACGTCTCTCACGACTTACCGATCAGACTGAAGTTCCGCGACTTCAATTTGCGCCCGGTTCATCCGGCTCACAACTTCTTCCATCTCCGAATCAGCGTCGCGAAGGAGCTTCTCTAGCTCCTTCACTCGCCGCTCCAGCGTTTCCGATTGGATAGCCTGGTCCAAAGCAATACCCCTACCACTGGTTGTCAAGTCCAGACGAGGAGACCGTGAGCCAAAGGGCGTGGTCGGAGGCATGGGCGACAAGGCTGCAGGGCTGCGAGCGCCATTCTTCATTCGCTTCAGTTGCGCATTGTGGTTCTCCTCGAGAGCGCGCACTTCTTCTTCGTGGCGCGCCATTTCGTCCTCGGAGTACTGCTGCGCCATCAGCAGGATGTCCTCCATCTCCTTGAGACGGGCCTGCATCTCATTGATACGAGCGGCTGACAGCTGCTGCTCCTTTTCACCCTTTCCAATGGCCTCGGCCAGACGGCTCCGCAGGGCATTGTTGCTGGCCAGCTGCTGTTGCACATGCTGCGCAAGCACGTCGGTCCGGTTGACCGACTCCACGAGCGAGTTTTGCTCGGCGAGGGGCGACTGGGCTGCGCTAGCTTCAGCGATTTCCCGATCTGCCTGAAGTTGTCTGTAAGCGGACTCCAGGGATGAAGAGGTTGCGAGGACCTCGGCGAATCCATCCCGATCACATTCGAGGTCTTCAGGAACGGTGATGTCATGCTCCTGAAGTATTACGCGCAAGGAGGTGGTCTCCTGTTCAGCCCGGTCCAGGTCCATCTTCAGACCTGCCAATCCTTTTTCGCACTGCCACTTCTGTTCCAGAGCTTCCTCGGCACGCTGCCGAAGGTCGTTTACTTCTTCGCGCAAGTTGCGCACTTCGCGCTCATAGCCCAGCT